TAGCGCACTAGTGAAAGCGTGTATACCAGGGAAATTTGTCCTTTTCCGCCTATCGATTTACAACTGTCAAGGGATTGTTTACTTCCACGCGGGAAGACCATTATTTTACGTTCAATCTGAAAGAGAGCGCGCTGTGCTTTGCTAGAAGGCTATAAACGCAAATAATCCGGACACCTATGGTCACCCAAATAGGCACCGACTAAACTTATTGGAATTACGCCGGGAAGATTAGCCTTACAGGGTAATGTAATTGAAAATAGAACCCCTCCCCCACCATATAGCATATGGCTTCATTTGGATCATAATCGTGTATGCATGCCCAGAGCAACTTTCACATACATTCTTAGAGTGCTCTTTTAAACGTCTGATTTCACTAATGGGAGGAAACATTTATTGAATAGCCGTAATTGGATTTTGTTTAATATGAAACCCCAGGTTATCAAATATAGCAACTGCTTCATCAGTGTGGTCTACCTTATGATTTGGGTCCCGGAGGATCATTTGACCCCGCCACTTAAGTCATTTTTTGGTGGTCGGGGATCCTTTTAAATTGGTTGAAATGGATTTTATTTCCTTCAACAAAAAATGCCTGCATAGAGTTTATTGATATAGAACAGTACAAATCCGACGTCTTTTGTTATCAGTTATCTGATTGCAGCAACATGCAAGTCGATTCCAGAAGCCACAATGGCTCTGTGAGTAAGACGTTGGCTCGCTAACCTGGAGGTTCTGTGTTCGATCCTTGCGTTGGCCGAGAAATTTCATCGGGATATTCCGGCATGGTACCCTCTGTCAGTGGTGCAGGGCGGAGTACACATTAGCGTTCACGTAAAAGATCCCTTAGCATTTGGAATTCGATAAAAGAGTAGGTAGTAAAGCCGCTGTCTTGGCAAAAATGACCTCATAGCACACTGGCGTATTTCATTAGACCAGTAGGAGCAGAACAGTAGGTCGTTAAACTCTGTTTCACTTCACCTTTTCAAATCGATTCTATCTGAAAACACCAAAAATGACGTAGTTTGACATCTTCAAGACCAAGTCCTGGTTCCTAGGAGAGATAACAATCGTCACAGAAAAGATACATTTTAAACCAACCATGATCTTGACATCCTTTCTCTATAGCCAGTAATTTTTATCACGAAAAAAGAAATTTACAGACCAATCGATTAACATCAATATAAAAACCATCAACTAATTTTTGAATTGAATGAAAATGTCGAGCAATGATCTGCTTAAACGACTATATCGATTATCTACTCTGGCCTATTATAATAACATGCACTATATAGCTATTTAAATTTATCACAAGTGAAATTCCAGAAATAATTCGCATTCAGAAATACATTCAATAGATGTTTATCATTAAGACACCTTTATTAACCATAAAGTTGGTCTCCATTTAGAAGCATAACTGATTCACGGTAGTTATTCTAGCACGATTAATTCGCATACCACAGACAATGATTTTATTGTTTTTGTGGTAAATTATACACAGAAATCTTAAAGTAACATTAAATTCTACCATTAATCTAATGTAGCTCATCTTACATCTAAGGTAAAACAGAAATGTGTTACCCTTATGAACGCCTACGCGAAAAGTGATATCGTCGGGTGTTCTAGAAGATGTGGACATAACCTGCCTTGTGTGGCAACCTTCACTTCTGAAATTGAAAAACCCAAAAATATAATTGTTATATCTGGTTTAAACAATGTCATAACTTGATAAGGGTATTATTATTATCAGACGCTTTCATTGGTTTCAAAATCTACGTCAAAGGATAGACTATGCGTAATACAGTCATGATATTATAACTTTTAAGATCATCTTAACCTTGGCGCTTTGATTTGAAAGTATCGACGAATGTGATTTACAAATAATTACCACTTCTCTTTGATCTGGCTGTAACTTGTTAGAAAAAACAAACATCTGGTAACTACAAGGTTTATAACATTCGTTACACATCTATTAATGTTTGTAAAACAGGTGCACCGTGTACTAATAATTTGAGAATTCTCTGTGGGTTATACTTATTTTCTGGAATTCTTAATAGTTTACTAATAGTCGCAAAAACATAGTGTCCAGCCCAATAGTTAGGCTGATGTCCCTCGCCGAAATCCCGAAATAAATAGATGACACGTATTAATTAATCGCACATTTATCTTTTTCAAAAGTATCGAGCAATCAAACTGATTATCAAGTTTCATCACTCTCTATCAGAATCACAATTATCGTATCATAAAGCATCGACAATGAAATTGCTTAGATCTGCTTAGCTTTTGCGAGAAATGATAATTATCGCTGCTTATCCGATGCAGACAATTCTGATCATCGTACTTAGTCAAGGTAATGATATAATGAATCTATACTCGGAATTTCATCGCTCTCACTTAAGTGGAACCAAAGTTATCGTGCCCTAAGGCACCCACCAAGCAAATTGGTTATCTCTGCTTACCTAAGCAGACAATATTCATCATCGTACTCCACCTAATGAACGCCTACACCAAGTTTGTTGGGATATTTAATTGTGCAATGGATTTTATTTAACCGGAGTTCATTTCAAACACACAGGTAAGTTTATAATAACCAAAGTTAAATAGTTTGTTCATAATCGAAGAAATCCGTTTATAAAATAGGAAGGTTCAGACAGTAATAAAAACCAACACCAGGGTTTTTGTGTTCCAAATTTGTGGTATCCCAAAAAGTGTGACGGACACAGACCCATTTTAATAGGCTCCTACTTTCTTCGATAGGCGGGGGACAACAAGCTAAAGTTCTCTGGTTATAAGACTTAAATGAAAAAAAAACCCTCAAAAACATTGTATTCGATCTATAGCAAGTTTATGAGGAGCATAATCTGGTCTTCCTTTTTATAGCTGCATTATGCATTCCTAGCAACTAGTTAGTAAATAGTTCATAGCAACCAATTCAGTTAAACACTAATTAAAGTTTATTGGTGGTAACTTAAGACGCTGGACCCACAATACTTACTGATACTCCAATACAGCTTATACCAGAATTCATCTAATTATGGTAGCGTTTGGAATAATCTTTAAAACAAGATGGATTATAAGATGTACAAAATACAATGAAATACTAGCTATTACAATAGAATACGTCACATAAATAAAGAATGAACACTACGAAATGTCAAAGAAAATGGCAATACTGGCTAGCGTGTATTCCAGCAATAATTTCTCAAACTATATTTAAAGTACATACTAAAATATGTATAAAAGAATTGTAAAGAAGCAGAAAAAAAACATATTGTTTTGAAATGTGGGATGCGATTTACTCAAGTAAATAAGGGAAGTTAAACCTGTAACTCAATATTTTTTTTATAACATTCGAAATTAAAAATACGAACTAAATTCAATGTCGGTCCATTTCAGTCAAATATTGCCTGGACATTTGGGGTCTAAATATCCAATGTTTAAGACACAATGAATTCTGGCAGATTCACAAACGACAAAATATTTTTAAAAAAACCAAACATGTAGAATGGTTCATTCAGATTTTCTGGCGTGGTTTCTCCTTGTCAGTGATGCAGGATGGAGGGCCTGACAAGGACAGCTGTCTACTCGTTCGCATGGGACGAAAAACCGAGGTCCCGTGTACACATTGGCGTGCACGTAAGAGATCCCTTGGCAGTTGGAATTCGATATAAGAGTAGGACGTGGCAAAATTTCCCTCATAGCACTCTGTATGGCGTATGCCCGTCTTCATTAGCCCAGTTCGGAGCAGAACAGTAGGATAAACCCCATTTCATTTCATTTCATTTCGGTATATAACTCGTTAAGTATGGACATAATTGGTTAGAAATTACAATATTCTTTTTAAAACATGAATGTAAATCACTTTTATATACTTTAGAAAATGCAATATTCTTTTTATAAAATATGTATATTAATCCCTTTATATGCTTTCATCGCACTGATAGATGCATTTAGATTCAGTTCCGTCTTTTTTACGATTCCAAAGAACAGAGCTCTACGCTCTTTAAAATATTTAATCAGGCCAGTTTAGAACAATAATGTTGAAAACATCATACATTTTATAAGGACAAGACGAACTGAGCTATATTGCCGTTCTGTAAACCTTCATACAAGTGTAGTCTAAACAGTTGGGTAAACCACCACTTTTCAATTATTATCAAGATTGGTATAGCAATGTAGATTAAGCAAACTAAGACGTGCTTTGGGCACAAAGAAAGGTGTAGGTGTGGGCGGGGGGTGGTGGGTCGCAAAAGTGTTTTCCCCAGCGATATAGGAAACTATTCTGGAATTGTTTAGATCAGAACATGATAATTTACATTTTAGAATCGTTAATATTTGAATTACAAATATATGGGTGCGCCATTATCTGCTTAAGGGCATGTAAAGGTCTAAATTCGACCCTTTATTCGCATACAGATACATATGGATGTTAAATTACGTATTTTGATACATTTTGGCTTTTAAAGATTACCCATACATAAATCAACAAATAGCCAACCGAGAATCTCAATTCCGACATATAATATAAAGTTTTCTGAAATCTAAGGCATTTCTTTACCACGTGTTAGCTGACACTCTGCATCCCCGGTAACTATCGGGAATCGAAGCTTTCAGACTTAACCTTGGAAGGTCGTTGAACCCGTCAAAAATGACAGAGCATCAGTTATACACGTTTAGCAGCAAGGAATATTTCAATAGTCATTTTGTTGCAGTATTTTCATTCGTGAGCACAATTTAAATTGAACTTTAACAACTTCAATTGATCCGGGTTTTTTCAGCTGACATGTCATTGATTTTCCTTTACGTTTCAGTAGATTTCATTGAAGGATGCCACCCTATTTAAATACACTAGTATGAAACTACATGACCTATTGAAATTGTCAATAGCGTTAATATTTTGTAGAGATTTTGTATACACATTTATCAATACCTTTCGATTGGCTGCAGCTTTTCTCTATAAATCATTGGCGTATCTCTTCGCGTGCATTATACAAATGCAAGAGTAAGAGTGTGTATAGTCAAGTTGGCCGTGGTATGGTAAACCGAATCCAAACACACAGTGAGCGGATCGAAACACAGAATGTCCATATATCTACGGTCAATCGCATTATTGCTCTTTACATGACCACTGATAGTTGGTTGGACTGTGTTGAGGACTGTGTTGAATGCGTCGAGAACGATTTCTTGTATTGAATTGGTGATCGAACTTTGGTCGAAGGGGTGCAAAGTTATCTCTGAGGGAGTTACGTGTTTTTTATGCTTCGTAAGTTATTTTCCGCTGACAGAAACACTGCCATGGGATGCAGGCAAACAAAAAAAGCTGATACGGACATTCAGCCCGAGAAAAAAAATCTGTCTAATGACAAAGATGAGTTTACGGCTATTTGTGTGGATCCTCGCTTGCCTTTAGATGCCAGACAAATTTTTAAGTTAAAACAATCGTGGAAAGGAATAAAACGAAACATGGAACCAACAGGAGTAGAAATGTTTCTCAGGTAGGACACAATTTAAAATTTTAAGTCGGCTTTCCGTCAATATACCAGTAATGAAATGTTCAACCATACAGTAAGCACTTACACTAAGCAGAGACGTTTGTGGAAAATAATCCGTTTATTCTTACGTTGATGACAAAGTAAAATAACGTTAAGCTTGAAGTAGACTGAATACATCTCGATAAGTACTTAGACTTTATTCCTTTAATAATGGAAATACCAATTCAAACTGGTCCTGGATATTAATATTAAAAAAGGAATCTTTAGACACCTGTCATATCAAGATAGTTCCCAAGTAGATTATCAATTTGACATCCCCCCGGGGTTGTAAAAATAATACATTTGCTAGTAAATGAAGGCATAAAGCGAGTTATAGTCATGCATAATAATGAAACATTTTCAGTGGGAATTACGATACATTGTGCTAAAAGGGATAATGTTTTGTTCGAATTTACACATGCAAGTCTGAACATGCCTCTATTAGCATGATAAGGCTGAATTACTGATCAAAATAGATCCTGATATATGTATACATATGAATAACTCCTTTGTTTCAGCCATTAACTGAGGAAATCGCTATTATTGACCAAAATTATAACTGTCATAAAAATCTCAATTTGAAACGCTACAGATTACGTGATTTAAGACTGTACCAAGTGAAACGTAATGTAATTTTTAAAAAAAAAAACAGTTTGCTCCATACATTCAAATCTATGATATCTAGCTAGCTTGGGTTATGACCATTTAAAGTTGGCATTGTTCATATCAGCATCTTAAGACAAATATAGTTATAATTCTGTTTCGTACACGCCTGCCAATTTATTTTCCTTGGAGGTTACTTTGGTAATACTTAATTACATAAGTCTCTACATTCAAATTATATGTTTTACTTTGATATATGTGTGAACAACCTGGATTCTCCCTTTTGATGGTACTAGATAGATAAAAAGAACATTCCAGTAAGTAATCCCACATTTTGACGGACGCATAAATGGTGAACCCCTAGTTCTTGTCTAGCACATATTCCATATGATAAAAATGGACTGAGTTAACACTGCAAAAAAGAAAATAATAATGAAACCGCCCATTCAACCTCACCTAAAAGTAAAAGATACAGTACTAGTAATACAAGCTTGAAATGCCAATTAAAGATGCGTGCGATAAAAGACCACAATCTTTTCTGGCCAAGATTGGGTAATTGAAAACATTGGTATGTGATTTTGATGAAGTAGATGGCAAACTATCGTGCATAGCATGTATCCTTGTTGATTCAGATTATTAGTGGAAATAATATGGCTATTTTAACATTTTTTTAAATTCGAAACAAAACATACAATCATCGCATTCCAGTAACATAATAGGATGATTATACCCCTCCGTAAGTATGGTAAACGGCAAATGTGCTAATAATTAAGCAATATACGATTCCCGTTTTAAAATACAGGGAGTGTGAAGAACAAAGAAACATCAGTAAATAATCAATTAGGTTATAGCATAGGAAACTCCAGTAGGGAATTTACAGGTCTTGAACAAATATCTTATTGTTGTTGCTCTCACATTATACGAATGTAAAAGCGATTCCAATTAGCTAAGTTGAACCCTCTGCCAAATAATAACCTGTGGTATGAGCCATACCAACAGCTTTTTGCAACGTAAACCTCTCCCCGAAACAAAATTCGGATCAAATTCTCATTCTTCTGCACATATATATATATATATTGATATATTGTTATAACGTTATGAAAAATTTAGCCCACTGTATTTCATTAAGGTTGTCTTCTGGCCATTCCCACATTCTTCGTTGCCCATGCCATCGATTTTCCCATACTCTACATTGCGGATGCCATTCCTAGTCTCATCGTCTATCGTTATTGTCCTTATATTGGGGAAAATATAATCCCCATAAGTTCTTTTCTGTTTTGAACTTCCTTACTTAACCAGGGTAAGCGAGCATGGAGATACATTTTTCGAGCGCGGCAGATATGTACCACCATCGATTAAACCTATAACCATTTGTTGTTTTCATATGAAAGGGTTATTATCAATGACGAAGCACACAAGGACTATATGTAATATGACAGCCAACTCAATGTGTTCTCATAATTATGTTATACTAAAAATAAACTTAGTTTTTCTGCCAACAGCATGATGTCGGTGATCAACTGGTGATGTATATGGATTGAGCATGATTTTATTATTATCTCGTCTGGGCTGGGTATTGACATACGTCATTCATAAACATTGGCATGCAAATATCACTAATCCCTCGTATTTGTGCGGAATGAACACAGCATGGGGCTTATTGTCATCTTCGATTATCGCTGCTTAACTATATTCATGGGTCCATATGGTCAGTATGGATAAGCTCGCCTTGTGGGATAATGAGTGGGAATTCCATAGAGGCTAAACGTAAGAGGCTTAAATCCGGAGATCGTTCTCTGAAATATTTGAAATGTAATGTACTTTGGATTAGAAGCAATATCTACAGAATAGAATAGAATCGTTGTGTGATCAAACTTAATTCTGGTTAGCCTTGGGTGAAGATGAGTAAATAATTATTTTATGTAAACCACTAGACTGTTGTATAAACACAATACATCAATCAAGCCCATTAATCATGTCACCGTAGTCAATAATTAGATGGTATGGAAAACAGCAAGCCTAAAATCTTATTTCATTTGAATGAGATATACATCATTAGAATATAGATGATCCGTCCAGGGACAAATTATAACACCGGAGTTAAAAATTTGGACAAAAGAAGTACACGCTTAATGGAATTATGTTTTCACTTGTAAATTGTTACATTTATAAAATGTAAATACATGTATCTGTATCTGATAGGGAGAGGGGTGTAATAAAAGGCTATGCCTGTTCCACACTCCCTATTCAGATACAATTAAAACCAAAATTAATCCATACATAGTGACAGATTAGTATAACAGTCCGAGGACTTCGCCTGCGGAACGCGCCAAATGAGCTGGTGTTCCCATATTAAAGTAATCCTAGGTAGGAATAAAATCTGATTCAAACGGGGGGGGGGGGGGACGTTGGCTAAGTGGGTAAGACGCTGGCTCGCTATCCTGGAGGTCGGGTGTTCGATCCCTGCTTTGGCCGAGAAAGTTTATCCAGACTTTCCGGCGTGGTTCTACCTTGTTGGTGATGCAGGAAGGAGAGTCTGATAAGGAGAGCAGTCTAGTCGTTCGGATAGGACGAAGAACTGTGGTCCCGTGTACACATTGGCATGCACGTAAAAGATCCCTATACGAGTAGGCCGATGTCCGGACAAAATTTCCCTCCTGCACACTGTATGGCGTATGCCCGTCCTTATTAGCCCAGCTCGGAGCAGAACAGTAGGGCGTTAAAACCCATTTCATTTGTGATTGAAACAGATCATATTTCCATTGTTTTTCTTTAACAATTCAAATTTCTTTTTGAAAATATTTTGGTCAGATCTATATGTATTGGAGGCAACAAAAAGCATAAAGCGAAATTTACATATGTGTTTCGAACATTCAATACATTTTGTATATAAAATAAAGAATATCTATAGAATTTAGGACCACTGAATGAACTTAGTAAGGTTCCACATTAACAATGTGAGCAACATCGAGATTTTTATTTACTTTCAAAAGCTAGTTTAATATCTTATCTCAGTGGTACAGGGCAGAGAGCCATATAAAGAACAGTGTCTAAATGTGCGGATGAGAAAAAACAAAACAATTGTGGCGTGCAATAGTCCTTGACAGATGGAAATCAATTGTTGTCTAGGGAAATTTTCGTCAAAGCACACTGTATAAACGTTAAACCCCATTTCATTTCATTAATCGATCAACTGCTAATAGGATACGATGTACTGGGCCAAATGCCGTTACATATAAATATTAAACATGTGAGCAAAATCTAGTTATTATGTGATACGGGGGGGGGGGGGGGGCAGGGGTTGTTGTACTCAAGGACTTTGTATGTTTTCATTATTTTAGTAACGAGTTCAATTATTTCAATCGCCTTTACCTGTACCCACGTGTTTCTGATGAGATAATTATCTATTTCGTTGAACACATACTGAATTCGGTGGTTTACTTCCACCAGATTAATCTACACGCCTATCTTCAACTAAAAGGAGATATGGTCATTTTTGAATGAAAAAAGGCAGGGATTAGCCAGAAATTTCGCTGTCACATATTCTGTAAATTAAACAGAACGCGGTTGCTGTTTAACCATCTCCGTAGAATTTGTTTTATAAATTGATCGATGTGTAGACAAGCTGATTTTGTAAAATTATCTCCTTCTGTGGACATTTTTTCTGACACGCGATGGCATAAGGGAAATAAATATTTGTCATGTGTAGAATATTGTTATACTGCAGTGTTGTAAAACGTGGTAATGGCGATGACTAGATCTTTGAAATCTGTTACAAGTTATTTTTTAGTTCTCGATCAATTGTTAGAATCTCGCCAGCACTTATCATAATCCATAAACAGTATTTCTTTATTCAATAAATTAATAGTCGTTCCTATAAATTCCGTCATTAATAATTAAACCTTCATGTAACAAATGTTCATTATTTTAAATTCCACAATTACTAGATAGGAATATGTATATCCGTCTCGAAACATAACATTGCAAGTCTTTTTAAATGTTATATAAATTATTAACTGTGCTTGACGAGACCATAATCAACACATGGACCCAATTTTAATGATTTAATTTTTGAAAAATGGAGAAGCAAGGTCAAGTCTCGAATAACCAGTACCGTGGTTACGATCATAAACAATCTATGCACACATCCTGTGAAAGATACACAGTGATAACTTCGCTGAGGATAAGGTAATTTGAATTCAATATATTCATTGTGAATTATCTATTTTTGAACTATTTTAGCAAGAACGATCACCTGTTTATCTAAATCTTACATAATGCATCTTTAATATAAGAATACAGTTTATGTTAATATAAACTTTTACTGGTGTATCGCCTTCAGAATCGTTTTGACGTCACCT